CACTGGCTGCTGGCTGTGGTGGGCCTCGTTCCAGGAGGGGACTGACAACTGAACCTCCATCTCCTCTCAGCCCAGGGTCAGCCTCCTCCTGGCCTCTCCTGCAGGGGCTGCGACATTATTAGGGGAGGTCAGAGGTGGCTTTCTCAGGATGCTCTTTAGGCCTGCCGCCACCCTTCTTGGGCACCGAGGCCCTCTTGGCTGCCCTCTGCCCTGGGAGCAGCACTGTTGCAATCAGAGGTGCACACAGCACCGGGGAGGGGGGCTCACTGCCCTTCACAGGCTTTCCTATGGGGGGCTGGGTCTCCCTGCAGCTGTTCCACAGCCCTCCATGCCTTTTTGCTCTTGTCATTTTCCAGAACTTTGGGGACCTACCCCCCACCCCTGTGTGTTTCATCTGCATTGGGCTAGCATGTTGGCCAGGACGGGTGATCTGTTGAGCAGTGGTCCTGCTCAGTGTTGGTCAGGACGAGTGGTCTGTTGAACAAGTTGGTGGCATGCAGGGAGGAGGGGTGGTCGGCATGGGGAGGGGCACAGGGAGAGCCTGCTGGGTGGGGAGCAGGGTCTGTGCAAGGGCCTGGGAGCCTGAAACAGCCTGAGATGAGACTGAAGGGGTCAGCACGCCCAGGGCCCAGGTCTGGGACCAGAGGCCACGGTTCCCACCCTGGCTCTGTGCCCCACTTTGCCCATCTGTAAATTGGGGATGGCTATGGCAGTTCCTCCCCGCCTGAGGTATTGAGGTGGCTCCTGCCTGTGAAGTGCTTTGCCCAGCACCTGTTGGAGGGAGCCTGGTGTCTTTGTGGCATGCTGGGCTCCACCGAGGGAGGGCAGCAGGGAGTGACAGCTGACAGCATCCTCAAGTTCACTCTGGTGGCCCTGGGACCCACAGGCGGGAAGGGCGGGGCTGTCCAGCGGCCTGAGAGCCCAGGTCCCACCTCAGACCTCACACTAAGCCTGCACGTGCTGACGTTTGCAGTGAGGTTTGAACGTTAAAAGAAAGTTTTCATTACCATGCGTTTCTTTTAGTAGGTATTAGGAAAAAATGAGCTGGTGCATCAAACCCATCTTTTTACAGGTATTATTTGAAACCATATAAAGTTTGTTTTATATGTTTAACAGATTTTAAGTAAAAACATAGGGAGTTTAGGGAAAATACTCGGACGGATTTCTTAGTGGTCACTGATAGAGCACACAGGTGAAGTGCGGCCTAGGAGGTGTGGGAGCCAGGAGAGTCACGGCCCCCAGGACAGTGGTTCCCCTGCTGCCAGGCCCTGGGGGCCCTTGTTTCCATGCTGCTTCCAGCCTGAGGTGGGGAAGCCTTGTGTGCAGAGGTGTTCAGTGCAGAGTTGCAGATGAACGGGAAACAGCACAGGCGGCGCAGAGGGTAGTTGGCGTGAAGGAAATTGTAGTAACTGGATGCAGCAGAGCTGCCTGTGGCCGTGAAGAGGGTCAGCTCAGCTTCTGTCTGCACAGGGGGATGCCGGGTCACTCAGGCTGCCTGCGCCACCCCGCAGGCTCGGCATGCTCCCTGATGGCACAGAAGAGGGCTGCTGAGTGAGAGTTGGGGTCATCTGACTGTGTTTAGTTTTTGTAGTGTGGTTGTACTACTTTTAGAATTAAGAAAGCATCTCTCTGTCACTTACCAACTTTAATTCATTCCTGCCTTCAAGTGAGAAACCGTTGAATGAAAAAATATTTCCAGGGCCGGCACGGTGGCATAGTGGTTAAGTTCATGCACTCAGCTTCGGTGGCCTGGGATTTGCAGGTTCAGATCCCAGGTGGGGACCTACACGCCACTCGTCAAGCCGTGCTGTGGTGGCGACACAAGGACAAAACAGAGGAAGATTGGCACAGATGTTAGCTCAGAGCTAATCTCCCTCACCAAATATATATATAGAGAGAGTACATTAAAATATTGCTTATCTTGATTACTTAGATTTTTGGTGCCCTCTTAAAGTTTGCATCCTCACTTTCCTCACGCTAGTCCTGGCCACTGAGCCAGTCGTTACATGAAGTAAGTCTATAATGGAAAATACTTTTTCACCCATCCTATGCTATCCTCCCCACCTGCAAAAAAAAAAAAAAAGCCTTCACATCTGCTCTCTCCTCTACCTGAGGAGCTCCTGCGTGGCCTTCAGTGCCCTGTCTCACTGCAGCAGACTGAGTTGCCCAAGGGGGTGAGGCTGCCATCTGGCCACTGGCCTCACAGAGTTTGGAGAGCTCTCACCAGGGCTGGGAGTCCTGCTCTTAGTCCCTGGAGCAGACATTCTGAAGGCGGAACTTAAGCCAGGACGCTGCCCTCAGGTGACACTTGTCCCTTGCATTGGCACTCTGCCCCTGCTGCTTTGTCATCTGCCTTCCTTCTGTGGGAGGCAGCGGGTGTCCTGTGCCTGGGTCCCAGAGACCTGGGCTGGAGCTCAGCATGTCCTGCTGGCTTTGAGCAAATCACTGAGTCCCTCAGAGCCTCAGTTTACTTATCAGTCTAAATGGGAGGAACAATACCAACCCCCCCAAAGCTGGTGTGAAAATGAAATGGGGTGCCTATGAGGAAGCTGCCAGCGGGAGTAGGGACTCAACTAATGTGGATTTCAATTGCCTTTCCATTCTTTCCCTGGAAGGTGTAACTTGAGCAATTTTGGGCACACTTGGTAACTTTTCCTTATCTATGGAGTTTTGGAGATGCCCATGTGTTCATTCTGTTCTCTTCTGATTCCTTGGCCCTCAAACGTAGTTGGTCACCAAACCTCGTTGATTTTGCCTCTTCATTAGCTGCTGGTTCAGTCTCCCCTTGTTGGGCAGGGCCTGCTTACCTCTAGCTCATTCTCACCTGCTTCTTGGCATCTCCCAGGCAGATCCTGAGCCTGTGTCGCCCCTCCTTGCAAGCCTTGGCGTGCACACTTGGCTCCTGGGTGCAGCCTGGTATCTGAGCCACCCTCTAAAGCGGGCACCTGGCGCGTTTCCCAGCCTCCCTTGCATTTAGCTTGGCCCAGTGGCCAGGTTCTAGATGTGAGCTGGAACACTAGCTGTGCTCTTTGGTTTATTCCTTGAAAGGTGCACGCCCGCCCCTTTCCTTTCTTTCTTCCCCTCCTGTGGGCTGGAACCAGGATGACACAGTGGCAAGAGCTGGAGCAGCCACCTTGGACCGGGCCCTAAAGACTGCAGGGCAGTGGCAGGGAGGTGGGAGGAGAAAGGGCCGTGGCTGTCCCTCCCTGCTAGCCCCCTTTTGGGTTGGTGTCCTGTGTCCTCTACCTGATGTCACAGCCTGCCAGGCAGCCCCTCCCACAAGGGCAGCTCTGCTCCCCTGACAGCCCTCCAGTCAGGGCTGTCAGCTCCCCCCTGTGGCTGGTCCTGGTGTGGCACCTACCATATGGGCTCCCTTTGTCACACTATCCTTGGACGGATGCGCTGAGGGTGCCCTCGGTTTCCTCCAGCTGTCCTGAAAGTCCAAGTTCTGGAACCAACCTGAGCTCTCTTCACCCCCAAGTCTAGCCTGGAGCCCCCTTGGCTGCAGGCCTGTGCACTCCACTCCTGCTCAAATGACCACTCTCCTGCAGGGCTGCGTCTGGAGAGCCTGCGGGCCCACTGCATGCCCCCATTGTCTCTCTTCCCACCCCACCACTGTTAGGCACTGGTGTGGCAAGTCTGTCTTCCTTCTAGGGGGCAGCCCCAAGGTCAGCATGGCACCTGGCACATTGTGGGCACTCAGTAGGGAGCTTCTGATGGTCTGTGAATGCTCGCAGGAGGCAGGAAAGGCCAGCGAAGGCAGGACGCTGCCCAGGTTTGACTCAGTTAGGCTCAGGTAGACTTGGGTCAGGTACGCAGAACATAGACCTGGGGGGAGTGGACTGGCCTTCAGGGCCCACGTGATCTGAGGGCAGGGCCAGGGCAAGGCCAGCTCCACTCCATGTGTGTGGGGCCCAGTGCAGAATGGATATGTGGGGCCTTGTCCAAAAATGATTGAGAATTTCAAGACAGCAACAGCAGAGCACTAAACCAAATGGGGGCCCTCCTAACGCGGGCCCCTGGGTGACTGCATGGGTTACACGCCCATGAGGTTGACCCAGGGCCAAGCTCGGGGCCTGGCTCAGAGAAGGCGTTCACCCCCCCACCTCCCTCATTCTCCAACAGGTTCTGTCTGTCTCCCCTCCCTCCCTCCCTCCCTCCCTCAAAGGACAGATATTTACCAGGGACTCTCCCCAGAAACCAGACAGGGGTCTAATGCAAGGACACAGCCTCCTGCAGCTGAGTTCCAGTGGGAGGACAGACAGCTGCCTAGTGGTCAAGCAGAACACGGGTCGTGTCAGACGGCAATGAATGTGCTGGAGGAAGGGAAGGCAGCAAAGGGGCAGGGTGGGTGTGGTGACTGAGGAGGGGTGAAGGCAGGGGGCACGCACTTCTCTGAGGAAGAGGGCAGCCACAGGCGGCTCTTGAGAGAAGGATTACAAGGGAAGAAAGGGGACATCCCAGGCTGCTGTCACCAGCCCGGCAGGAGGAGATGTGACAACCTGGGGCCAGAGGGAAATGGTCTGCGTGGCCGCTCTTGGGAGGCAGAGCCCTTAGGACCGCTGCTAGGTCAGGTGCGTTGTTCGGGGGGTGGAGGAGGTTGTCTAGAACTTTGGCCTGAGCAGCAGGAAAGCTGCGACCCCCTAAGCTGAGAGGGGTGAGGCCAAGGCGTTGGCGACGCGTGGGTGCAGCTCAGAGCTTGTTTCAGCACGTGTCAGGCATCCATGTGGGACCGTGGGGGAAGTGGGTAGCCATGGGGTCTGGAGCTGGGGTGGCCAGGCTCCACTGGTACCCAGTGGTGGCTGAGTCTGTAAGAGGATGCGGGCGTGGAGTCTGCTCCCTGGGGTAGCAGTCCCCAGGAGAGAAAATCAAATCCACACACATTGGTTTGTGTCAGATGACTGGCTCAGCCCAGACTCTCAAAACTGCCTTGCAAAAGGGCCTGCTGTTCTCTCTGCAGGGAACGTGGTCGTCTCTGGCCAGACAGACAGACAGCACCATTCAGAAAACATCTGGTTTATTAAGATTAGCTGTGGCATACATTGGTTCCTTTAATGGTTCTAAACTGATACATGTGTCCCCACTCACAGTATACATGTAAAGATGTGGCTGAGCTGCAGCGACAATAACAAACTGGTAAATTGCTCAGAAAATCATTGTGATCCTAATGGGTTTGTTAGCAATCGGCAAGAGAAAGAAAAGGCAGTGTGGGGCCTTGCCGCAGGATGCTGAGCAGCGCCAGCATCCTTTACTGCTCTTACCACGAGCCCCAGTGTCCCCCAGAACCTGAGGGGGACACTGGGGTCGCCGCTGGACAGGAGGGAGGCTGCCCACCCCTGCAAAGGAACGGAGCCTGGTGGGGTTGGGAGTCCCATTAGCTGCAGGTGGTATCTTTTCCTAGAAAGATTTTCAGGCATGAAACCCCTTCCTGTGTGGCCCGGCATGATCCGAGTCATGGGGGAAGGCACTGTGTCCGCATCAGTGCTGGGGCCTAGTGTCCCAATAGTGTGTGGGCCCCCAGGGGTTTGGATCAGCAGCGTCTCCACGGGTCCTCCCGGGCCTTTGCCCTCCTCTCACTTCTCCAGGCCAGACCGCGTGTGACCCAGCTTCCCTTCCAAATCCAACTCTTCTGCGCTGAGGCGATGGCACTTGTTTGAAGCTCCGAATCTCAGCACAGAGCTGTCAACACTGAGGGTGAACTCAAGCCAACACTCGCACAGCCTCCCCAGGACAGGAAGGGCGCGAAGCCCTGGGGCGGCCGCGTGTGGGACTCCAGACACAGGTCAGGTCTGGCTCCTGCACCCGGTCCTGATTCAGCAGGTGGGCACGACATGGAGATGTCCCCTGTCCCCTCTCCCAGGAGACAGTCCTGGTTTCAAATAACTACTTTTTTCTCTTTAATATAGGTGATTCTTTAACCAGATGCGTAAATGCGGAATGTGTCCCTGTAAGACATTCATATAAACAATTTCATGCATCTGAAAGATTCCTGGTCAAACCACGCACCTGGTATTTAATTTGGGAAATGGCATTGCTGTCACATGCTTCTGGGAGAGGCGCGGGGGCGGGAGGGGGGGACTTGGTGTGACCTGTGCTATCACAGCTCCAGGCTCCAGCTTCCAGATCTGGGCCTGCGGCTGGTGGTTTTGAGGAATTGGGGTGGGGTTTCTGCAGCCCCAGCTGAGGAGCAGAAACGCCCACACGGCTGCCCAGCTGAGCAGGCAGGGCTGGCCTTCTTTCTCAGTGCATATTTTACATTTCTCTCCTCCAAAGAGAAGCCAGAGAAACAAGATGGGGTGATGGGAGCCACTCTCCGTGGGGATCTGGGCCCTGTCGCCCTGAGGCGGACGCCTGAGCACTTCGCCCCTCCCGAGGGGCAGGGGCAGGAGAACACAAACCTCAGTGCTGCAAGAGTAACCTTTGGCCGGGCCCAGGCCACCCGCTGGCAGTGACCAGCTCTGGCTCCCCCATGGTGTGGTCAGGGTTCCCAGAGGGAGGGCAGAGGGGCTCCCCTTCCCGGGGACCCAGGACAAGCCCCAGGAGTGCCCACTGCCAGAGGAGGAGGGGTGGGAGCCCCAACTCCCAGCCCCGGGCCAGGGGGCTGGCAGGAGGAGCCATCGCCTTGGCCTGGGCCCCTCACTGCACCTTCCATGGGGTTCTGGGTGCCCGGCGGCCCCCAGGGGCTCCACCCCCGCCACGGCCATATCTGCACTAAGGGGCCTCATGAGGCCACAGTGAGTCCACTTGAAGTGCAAGTACTCCCACGGTGGGTGGTGATCCCCATTTATTGCTGCCGCTAAGTGAGGGCCCAGGGTGGGCAGGGGTGGCACCGAGAGAGGCAGGTCCCGTGGCGGGGACCTTGCTGGGAAAGGGTGGTCCCTCTGGCTTTGGCTTCCAGGGGCTCACAGCTCTGGGCAGGGCCACCGCACTGGGACTCTCTTCTGCCACCAGAGGTAGCTGTGCTGCCAGCACCCAGGCTCCCAGGACGGCTGTGGCCCAGCGGGCGGGGCCCAGGGACAGGCCTGCTGCTGCCCCTGCTGACGCCTGCCCTGCCTCCCAGGGGCTCCTGCGCCTTCAGGCCCCCTTGTCCCACCCACCTACCCACCCACGCAGATAGTCTCTGTTTCAGAATATACATTATATATTAGACATTTCATCTTTAGTACAATTGTCCTCTCGCTGTGGCAGGCAGAATGAGTCAGGGGTGGAAAGGCAGCCCCTGACTACACACGGCACTCGGGGCGGCCTCGGGCTGCCCTGGAGGAGGGAGGGGAGGAAGGCTCTCCCGCCTAGTCCTCCTCTGGGCCAAGCCTCCTGCCGACAGGAACTGCCTTGGGTCAGGGTGGCTACTCATTTTGAGGACATACGGAATTTTCTGGGTCTCAGAGGGCACGGGAGTGTGCCTGGGGGAGCTGAGGCTGGCCACCCCATCCCACGGCCAGAGAAGAGCCACTGGGCAAGGCCCAGAGGAGAGGGGCGCTGGGGTGGGGGCCGGAGGGTGGGCAGGAGGGGAGTATCCCCCAGTTATTGCAGTCAGGCATCCCGGGACCACCAGGAGCTCCTGGGAACCTCCTGGGAGCCGGGAGAGGCGGGCAGAGGCTTCGCTGTGTTCTTGGGACACTCCGCACCTTCCCCCCTCTCTGGAAGACTGCCTGGGACCCTTTCCTGTGTTTGCAGACAGCATCTACCTCTTAAGGTAGACCTGGTGGCAGACAGCCTAACGCCACAAGAAATTTTTTTTTTTTAAGTAAATTATGCTAGGGATTCCTCCAATTATGATTTTTTTTTTTTTGCAAGCCACATCTGAGAAGCCAGCTTCTGCCCTTCCTCTGCCCGCTTCTCTGACCGTGGATGGCCTGGGGCCAGGGCACTCAGGGCGGGGACCCCCTCTCTGTCGCCGCAGTCCTTTGAGAGACCCACATGTTGATTTCACGGAAGACGGAGTTGGTTACTTCAGGAAGCTCTTTGTGGAGAACGTGGTAGGCACCTTCGTAAATCTGCAACGAGGAGACAAGAAGTCAGGGCTTCAGGAAGTGACCGGTGAAGGGAGGGAGGCCATGGGCGGCAGAGGGGGCCCTCCAGACTCTCCCCATGCCCCAGGACTCCCATCTTCCTGGCGCCAACACCTGTTGATCAGATGATGGTTCAAATAAATTAAAGTGTGCCCCATGTCCCAGCGCTGCTTTTCTCACGTCCAGTGCACACCTAGCCTGGGTTCCTCTTCTCCCTGCAGCTGTGGAGGCCGGGCCTCCACCTCACTGGTGACTTCCATTTCCTGTCTCCGTCTCTTTGCCTTCCATCTGGACCTCAGCTTATCCCAATCTGACTTTCACCCCCACCAACCCTGGCGACTGTCTTTGGCACAGGCTCCAACAACCTTCAAGTCACCACAGCCAGGGGACACTTTTGTTCTTGTATGGTTTGGCTTCTCAGCATCACTCAAAAGTTGACCAGTGTTAACCTTCTAGAAATACTTTCCTCTAGTGGTTTCCGAGGCTTTCTACCCTCCTGGTCTTCTTTCTGCTCGCTAGCAGCAGCTTCTCAGTCCAGGCTGGACCTGGAGGCTGACTTCTGCAGGCAGGTGTGGCCTGAGCCTGTGGGCGTGGCCCTCTCCCCCGAGTTATCCTTGAAAACCAGGTGCTGGGGACTTGAAATTTTTGCCTCCAGCCAGACCTCTCTCTGGATGCTAGATGTGTATATCCAACTGTCTATTTGCCATTCCCAGTTGATTTCTATTGGGATCTCCAATTTCTATTTTTTTAAACTGTTGTAAAAAACCACATAAAATTTACCATCTTAACCATTTTTAAGTGTATAGTTCAGTAGTGTTAAGTAGATTCACATGGTTGTCCAACAAACCTCTAGAACTTTATCTCGTAGAACTGAAACTCCACGCCCATTAAATTCTCCCTTCTCCTCCTCCTGGTCCTTGGGAACCACCATTCTACTTTCTACCGCTATGATTTTTGACTGCTTTAGAGATTTCATATGAGTGAAATCATACAGTATTTGCTTTTTTGTATCATTTAGCATAATGCCCTCCAGCTTCATCCGTGTTGTAGCAGGTGTCAGGATTTCCTTCCTTTTCAAGGCTGAGTAACATGGCCTTGTCCGTACAGACCACATTTTGTCTGTCCATTCACCTGTCGATGGGCACTTGGGCTGCTTCCACCTCTTGGCTACTGTGAATGATGCTGCCACAAATGCTGCTGTGCACGTGGGTGTTCGAGACCCTGCTTTCAATGATTTTCCCAAATTTCTTTTTTTTTTTTTTTAAGATTTAAAAAAATTTTTTTTCCCTTTTCTCCCCAAAGCCCCCTGGTACATAGTTGTATATTCTTCATTGTGGGTCCTTCTAGTTGTGGCATGTGGGACGCTGCCTCAGCGTGGTTTGATGAGCAGTGCCATGTCCGCGCCCAGGATTCGAACCAACGAAACACTGGGCCGCCTGCAGTGGAGTGCGTGAACTTAACCACTCGGCCACGGGGCCAGCCCCCCAAATTTCTACTGGGACTTTCTAATAGGTGTCTCAAAATGGAACTCCTGATGCTCCCCACATCTGCTTCTCCCCCACAGTCACCCATCTCAGAATAGGGTGTCACGGTCTCCTCGTTAGCACAAGCCCCAACCCCAGGGTCCATTGCAATCACTTCCATCTCACGCTGTCCCCTGGGCCACCAGGCCTGCCCTGCCTCTGTTGCCCCCCCAGGCCAAGCCCGTCCTCTTGGCCTGGGTGACGGCACAGCCTCCCCCGTCCCCACACGGCAGCTGGAGGATGCTGGAGAACTGAAATCAGCACAAGTCACTCTTGGGCTCAGATGCTCCTGTGGCTTCTTCATCGCTGTAAGATAGAAAGTCGAGGCCTCTTCTGCTGCCAGGCCCTCCCCGCTTCCACGCACTCCCACGCAGTCTTCCGTTGCCTGCACACATGAGAACTATCCTGCCTCAGGCCTTCACATTTGCTCTTCCCTCTGTCTGGAATGTTCTTCCACCACTCTCGCACTGTCAGCTCTCAAGCTGGCCTGCCCCCATCTGAAGTAGGCGCCTCGCCCTTCCTCTGGCCCCTATCCCAACCCCCTGCTTACTGTCCTTCCGGCACTGACCCCGCCACCGTCACCCTGTTCAGCTATGTGTGCCGCTCATCCCAGCAGGACGCAGGCTGTAGGCGAGGCCAGGACCGGGCCTGTCCTGTTCTCAGGGCCCAGCACAAAGCAGGCACCCATTGAATACTGGGATTGAAGAACGAATGAATGGTGAGCAAATGAGTGAATGAGTGCCCTTTGTGGACTCCCTTCGTAGGGCCAACAAGCTTCCACACCGGTGAAGGGCATGACCTGTCTGATGCCTTCACCCAGATTGCAGAGTGTCCCCTTGTGTTCACAGTCTCCAGCATTACTGAGATCCAGCTTTCCTTTTCCCTTTTTCTCCTTCTTTCCGTTCATCCACGAGTCCATATGTGGTAGCTGATGTGGGCCAGGGTCTGCAATTCCTAATGGTGCGAGGGAAGCACTTGACAGTTTGCAAAGAAATGGGAGTCTTTGTCAGTGCAGTGTGGAGGGAGCAGGACAGTGGGCTTGGGTCAGAGGATCTGAGCTCAGATCCCGACCTCACCACTCAGTAGATGAGACCTGCAGCGACTGCCTGGGTAAGAAGGGGCCCTGGGCCCAGAGCCTCTGTATGGCCATGGCACAGGGCAGGTGGCACAGCCCTGAGACAGGTGCGCTCAGGACTGTGCCCTGGGGCTGTGGTCTGCCCGACTGACCACGGAGAGCCACCTTCAGGGTCAGCTGTTGCTGGACGGGTTCGCAGCAGGTACCCGCTCCCTCTCATCCTCTCCCCATCTGGGGCTCTTTCCGGTTCAATCAGACAAACAGGAACTTCTTGACCCCAGAACAACATTTTCCACCTCAAAAGTCACTCTGAGTTAGTCCATTGCGGTCTGTTGTGTCTGACATGCCACGTGGCTAAGCCACAGGTCCTGTCCCCTCTGAGGGACCCGCTCTTATAGATTCCCTTACAGACAAGGCCCAGCAGTGCCTGTGCGCCCAGAGCCCCTGACAGGGCGGCTGCTGGTGCAGGATGCCGACTGAGGGAGGCCGGGTGCCACACATGCCCCTGGACCCTGAGCACGACAAAGCAGAAGACATTCTCCTGGAAAACGTTTTGCTCAATGCCCAGTTCTTTTCTTGACCGTGACATCTGAGCGTTCTCCCTTTCTTCCTTCAAGCTCATTCATGCGAACAATCAGCTAATTACTTGTGTGCTCTCTCAGAATTAATAGATGCCTCATGTTCCCGGTACTTATCCCCAGCGGGGCCAGGCTGGCCCCTAACCCGAGACGCCCCGCTGGGGATGGCCTGTGGGGCTTTGCGCAGTTGTGCCCAAAGGGACGCCACCTCCCTCCGGCCTGGGGAAGCGGGGCGGGGTGGGCGGGGGGGGCAGCTGCTCACCTTAAGTGTCTTGTCCTGGCTCTTGGAGGACTCCATGAGCAAGTAGGCTCCTTTGCTGTCGCACAGGCGGTCAGCAGAGCCCTGGAGCAGCAGGAAGGGCAACGTCAGCTTGGGGAGGGCCCGCTCTACCCGCGAGACGGCATTGAGAAGCTGGATGCCGAAGCATACCTTCAGCCCTGCCCGGCAGATGAGGGGGTCCGCGTTATAAAGGTCGACCTGGAAGAAAAAAGAGAGAGGGCTCCATCAGTTCATGGGCGGGGGCTCCCCTCCAGAGGCCCAGATCTATCTCCCATTGGCTATTCCTTCTGTTCTGGCCTGAAAAGCTGACTCCGGTCACGGCAGCTGGGTCTGGGGAGTGGGGGCTGCGAGCCAGCAGCATGGTGGCCAGCCCTTCAGCAAAGCCGACCGTGCTACTTTCTCTCCTTCGAGGCTTTGTTCTCGCACTCCACACTCACATGTGTGCTCTGGACAGGTTCAAGTGCCAACTCGTGTTTTCTTAAATGCAAGCTCATAGAGTTGTTGGCTCTGACCACTCCACTCAGGGGTGGCTCTGGAGACGTACTGGTGTTAGTCCAAGTGTATTTTGTCTGCTCTATGTCTGTCGCCCCTGACTTAATGTCCACCTTGTTCGCGTGGGTGAGGGGCACACACCCCCACAGGAACAATGAGGGCCACACTGGAATGTGGGGCCAGGATGAGGAGGTCCTGAAGGTGCTTCGGCCAGGGCACTGCCCCGTGGGCTTCAGGGAGAGCAAAGCCCAGGGCAGGTCTGGGCCAGTGGGCTCCAGCTTCCATGCCCTCTGGGCCGCAGAAGGCCGCCTGCCCATCTGACAGGGAGGCCTGCCCCCTGCCATCTGTCTCGTCCCTCCTCTGCCAACAGGCTGGCAGGGACCTAACTCTGACATACTCCCTGCTGTGGCTCAGGACCCACCCCAGCCTTTTGCGGGGCTTTCTGGCACTGTCCTTGGTTTCCAGCTTCATTCCTCTTGCCTTTAAGGAGACAGTGAGTTGCCTGCTTACCATGGCCCGAGATGGGGCATCTGCCCCACAGAATCGGGGTGAGAAGTTTCTACAACTCTCTCAGGCCCAGATGGGTGGGTGTGAGGCCCTGATGCATCTTCACTCACTTCCCTCATCCTTGCCAGTGAGCTCTCGGCTGTTTGGAGATGTGCCACGTGGTGTCGGGACTGGGTAAGGTGTCAGGAGGGGCACCGGGGACAAGGAGCGCAGAGACAGCTGCCATATGAGGCTGCCAGAGAGTCCGCTGTGTTCTGACTCTGAGTCTCCAAGGGTGGGGGCTACATCTCCCCTTCTCCTGCCACCCCTCCAGGGCCTCGGCCAGAATTCTGGATGCATGCTGAGAGGGGACAGGCTGTCCTTGGTCACCCCTGCCAGCCCCGATTCCTCCCATGCTGGGGACCACGCACAGCAAACCAGACCATTTGTGAGAAGCCACACGAGACGGATTAAGCACTTCCTGCAGCTGAGCTGGCGTGAATCCTGCAGGGCCAGGCCATCTGTTTGGGGGGCTGAGAGGACAAGGCGCTGGCAGGGGCAGTGCATGGCTGCAGCAGGGGCTCACTCAGGGTCCACCAGGAGCCCTGTTTGGGAAGAGAGCTGTGGGGCCCCCGAGAGCCCTGAGCCTGGAGTCAGGGGAGAGCTGACGCTAACAAGAGCAATGGCGACTGCAGCACCCCTGAATGGCACAGACCTTGTGCCAGCATGGTGCCACGGCATGACATGCAGGATCTCAGTTAGTAAAGGAAATAAGAATAGCTAATATTTCTGAGCTCTTCCAACACGCTTGGCACTGTGTTCAACATGTTTAGCCTTCATAAGCACCCGGCATGAGGAATGGCTCTCACCATCCCCGTTTTACAGGAAGAAACCTGGCTGTGATTAGTTAGCCAGCTCCTGTTCTCCCCCATAGAACCCTGGGTGTCTCCTTTGGAATACAATCACCTGAAGAAAGACTACATCTCCCAGCCTCCCTTGCAGCTAGATGTGGTCACTTGACTGAGCTCTGACCAATAGGAAGTAAACAGCAGTGCTCTGTGTACCTTCTTGTCGAGGTTTTGTCCTGCCCTCACCCCTTTCCCTATTCCCATTGGCCAGAACACAGGCGCAGTAGGGAGAGTTGACGCCACCAGGAGGGGGCTGCACCCCAGAACCAGAGAGCAACAAGATGGGTGTTGTTGTTGCTGACACATCACCATACAGAGAAATAAGGTTCTCTCCTGTTGAAGCCACCGTTGTCTGGGGTCTCCATCTCAGACAGACCCTGGCTCCGGCAGCCCCGTTTGATGCTCCTTGCAGGGGACGTGCCTGGATGAGTGCACGGGGCCAGAGCCCATCAGACCACCTCCTGCCTGAAGCGGCCTCCACTTTGCCCTGCTGACCCATGTGTCCTGCACGTGAGGCCCCTGGGGGAGTCTGCTCCCGGGTTTAATTGCTCTGATGGCCCATGTGGCTTCCTGCTCTTGGCTTCCTTTTCCATGTCTTGATCACGTAGGCCCTGTTTACACAATGGCCTATTTTGGGCCTGGGGAAGGAGCTGCCAGATATGTCGGGGAAAGGGCAGGCCCCTGGTGCAAGCCACCACCAGGGCAGGGGGTGAGCAGCAGAGGGAAATGGACCAGGAGGGAAGAGGAGGGCCATACCATGTGGGGAAATTGAGGCTCAGAGGGTGCAAACCGTCCTCTCAAGAAACCCTTTTGGCCCAATCATGGTGGCCTTTGTTTTTTGAGAGCTTAAGATCTAAGTCCACCAGAAGTCCTCCTTGAAGGAAGGACCCAGACAGGGCTCTCCCTGTTAGACCAGGCCCAAGGCCAGAGCACTGGGCAGCAGGACGAGCCCATTCAAAACCAAAGACCACTCAGTCAGTCCCAAAAGATGACTTACTGTATGACTCCATTTCTACGACATTCTTGAAATGACAGACTTAGAGAAATGGAGACTAGGTTAGTGGTTGTCAGGGCTAAGGAGACGTGAGGGCGGGAGGAAAGTGGGGGTGGCTATAACAGGGCAAGAGGAGGGGTCTTTGTGTGATGGGATAGACTATATCCGTCCTAGCGTTTTGCAAGATGTCACCCACCATTGGGAGGAACAGGATAAAGGGTACATGGGACCCCTCTGGATTATTTCCCATGACAGCATGTGAGTCACAGTTTTCTCTGAATACAAAGTTTAATTAAAAACACATAACAAAGACCCAGTCTTTGGCACTCTCTCTCACACATCCCTCCCCCCATTTTTTGGACCACAACTCTTCCTGCCCGCTGAGAACAGTGTCTGCTGGGGACATCAGCTGGAGGCTGCGGACCTGAGTCCAAGTGGCTGCACCTTTGCTCCAGATTACTGACCTCTGGGGGTGCCTCCACTGGCTGAGACTCGAAGTCTTTTTCTTGGGGGGTTGACTGAATGATGTGGGGAAGACTGGGGGTGTGAGGACCACGCAGCCCTGACGTTTCCCAGCTGTGTGATCCAGGCGAGGCTCTTCTCTCCTAGGCTCAGTCTGCTCATCTGTGGGATGGGGTGATGGTGGGGACGCCTCTGAGGACGTGGGGAGATTCAGTGATGATGCAGCCGCAGTGGTGTCGAGCAGTGTGGGCTGCATCTGATCAGACCCCAGGAGGCAGGGGAGGAGAGCCACTCCCCTGGAGGCCTTTCTGCCCAGACAGGCCAAGCCACGTGACCTTGGGGGAGCCCCACTCCTTCCTGGGCCTCAGTTTCCCCATTGAGGGGACCTCGAAAGTTCCTCTTGGGTGTGAAGTTTCACAAGCTGCTGGCCTCCTGAGGGGTGTTAGTGGTCCTCTGCTACCTTCCCTGTTTTCTGAGGCTCCGAGAGCTTCAGCAAGGGTGACCTTGACAGCCAGGAACATGCCACCTGGGGCTTCTGACTTCTGAACTCTGTCTCCCTTGGGGAGAAACTCTGCCCTGAAGCACGATAAACAAAGCTGCAATCCACAGCCGGGAGCTTGCTTAACCTTTTGGTTGAGCAAAATCTGGGCCCCACCCCTACTGTCAAACCTCTTGACCTGTTTTTAAAAAATCTGTTCCATGATGGATTGCAAAATTACATTTTTAATTAGAACAATATTAAAAACAAATAACACAGCAAGCCCTTCACTCTGTTCCAGGTGCTGTGTTGAGCACTCGCACTTGCTCACAAAGTCTTCGCAGGAACCCTAAGCAGGGATTATTATTGTCATCGCCATCTGACACATGAGGAGATGGAGGCCCAGAGAGGCTACATGACTCACCCAAGGTTACGCAGCAGGTAAGGGGCAGAGCCAAGATGAGAACCTGGGCAGTCAGGCTCCACCAGCAGCACTGTCACCCACCTGCTGTGCTATGCCACCTGCCCAGAGAAGAGAAAGCAAAGCTGGGTCCTCCGGACTCACAGGACAGCCAAGGTGGGGAGGTGGCGTTCCTCAGAAGAGAACGGTGGGGGGTCCCTGGTGAGGACCATAAACCCCTGGGCCTGACAGAGAGTGAAGTGACTTGGTGGGTTCTAGAGGGTGCCACCCTTCACAGACTGCCAGAGGGGATGGGGTGCCCTCTGGGCACAGACAGACATGTGTCCTCCCCACATGACACTGCTTCCCACTTCACAGAGAAGTACAGCCCAGCAGGTCTAATCTCCTGCAGTTCCCCTCAGGGGCCTACAGATATGTCTACAGCTGGGTTTCTTTACCCTCCTTCCCTACAGCCCCCTCCCTTTTCCTGTGGAAGCTTCATACTTCCACCTGTGCTTTAGAGCTTATCCTGGAATTCCCACCTCCTTCCCCTATTGTTTAGATCTCTCTTAATCCATCCATTTTCACAAGGAAATCAGATAGCCTTCTGTGGCATATTGGAGAGAGGGTGCACAGCAACTCAACCCAAGCAATCTCTGTGAAATCTAGAAACCTGTGGGAACCCTAAAATGAACTGGCAGGTTTTTGCAGAGATAATGTCTTCATTTTCCCCTTGCCTTGAATGGCAGGAGATGCAATTTGTTATAGAAAGAGTTGCATGAAAGAAACTCCTCTCCTGAGCCCAGTGACTTCCCTCGCCCACCTCGAGCAGCTTGTCCAGCCCACCGCTCTCGGGCTAATCCTCATTCAGGCCTCCTTCCAGCTTCAGCCCAGACTTCACCCCTTTGGGGAGGCCTTCTGGGCCCTCGTGGGCCCTCGTGGCTGGCAGCCCTGCCGCAGCGCTGCGCTCGCTCGAGC